AGGTGATGAATTTCATCAAGGTGTTGTGATGCTTTCTAAACAAATGTTACCAAAATAATGCAAATGCTAATGAAAGAGAAATTGCAAACACAGGCATGCTGATTTCAGGGCGCAGCATTGCTAAGCGATTTAGCCCCCATTTGCTTCCTCTGTTCCAAATGAAAACAGAAATATTTTAAAAACAGCAATTTAAAAGGAAATTCCTAAAAAAAAGCCTCTTCAAAATATGTTCTATATTGTAAGCAAGTAATAATGGAGCCATAATTTCTTCATCCAACTATTTATTCATATTTTATTTATTGATGCTATTATAGGATCTTATACCAGCAATATTCATGACATCATAGTCATGAACATGACATAGTACAAAAATCTAAGGAAGATTTGCTAATGCTACAGATTACTTTTAAGTCAGGGTTGTCAAATTCACGTCATCACGGCATAGTCACGTGATGTAGCATGACTTCTCCCCCCTTTGCTAAACTGGGCGTGGGTGTAGCTAGCATGTGATGTGTCTGACCTGTGGGCTGTAAGTTTGACAGCCCTGATTTAAGCTGGGCCCTAAATTCACCCAGTTTCATGTTCAGCCCTTCCCGCCTACAAAATATCTTTTTCATCACATTCTGGAATTTGAACAGGTCATCTTTATTTGCAAAGTCCTGGTTCTAACCTTAGGCCAGTTCTAGTGCCTTTTAAGGAACATGGCCAAATATTTATATTTCTCTGACCAGAGCAGGGGTGGGTTCTGGCTGCTGCTACTGCCAGCTTGCTGAGGGATGCGCTGTGTGTGTGTGCTTTGCACGTGTGTGTGCTTGATGCATGCTATGTGTGCATATGCAGTACTAAAAAACCAAGATGGTGGTGACTATGGCGGCGCCAAGAGAACCAGTTCGGGGCGTGGCAGGCCGAGTTACTACCTCCTCAATCGAACCAGCCTCAACCAGTAGGAACCCACCTCTGGATCAGTGGTGGACTCACAACAATCAAGAAAGCCAGACTATATCATCAATTGCAAAATACTAATTTTCTGGTGCACAGTCTGAGATGGATATTAGGATACTGGTGTTACTTTTTATGGAAGGTAGTTGTCAGAGAATGATGTTCACATATGCGCAGAAAGGTTTTTTTTTAATGTTACTTAGAGATGACTACTCCTTTGGCAACATGGATGTGATCAAACTGGCAAATGAATATTGGAATCATGCATGCAATGGATATTTCCAGTTTCTAAACTAAGCAGTAATGTGATTGGTTACTATCCACTGTAAATTGAATTTGCTATAAGGATGTGATAACTTTACTTTGCTATTGGTTTGCAAATGGAGCACGCTCGCATGTGCAGAAAGTTGCATATTACATCGAGACAAGTGGGTGGAGCCTCCCGTAGCTGCTGCTACTGGTTCACCCGAACCAGAGAGAATCACTTGAATACCACCTCTGGCTTGTTATCTTTAAAACAACATAGATAGAAACAAATAATTCTAGTACTTCAGTAGGTTGTTTGGTATTTTTGTTCATTTGCTAGGAAAGCAGATGAATTATTTGAAAAACAGATATGCAAATGAAAAAAAGATGTATCTTTAATTTTTTAACACAAATAATTTAAAAGTCTTTCAACTAATATATCAATAAATCATCTGATCTTTAAAAAGTGTTCAGACAACTTTACATTAAGTTTTTAGACTTGAGAGAACTGGAAAATAATACTCCACCCAATTCATCCTGCTTAATTGCTTAATTACATAGTGTGTGCATCATTGAGCATTTGTACAAAGCATGTACAAAGCATGATTGGAGTAGAAGTGACCACAATTAAAGTAATTAGTGTAGCACCAGCTTTTGAATAAATTATTTCAATCTCTAGAATATTTTTTGTGAACCTGTTTTCTTTAAAAAAATCTAATTTGCTACTATTTTAAAAATTAAAGAAATATTTTATATTTCTGACTGTGTGTATCAGTCTACTGTGTACTGTGTCTCCTGTTCAATGGCATATAGGCTACATCACAGTGGTCTGCAAGACAAACTTTAAATACAGATTCTACTTTGAATAGAAGAGTATGGGCATGTTTGAGGAAAAACTGATGTTTGATTTTGCTTATGGATACCCACAAAAATTTACCTGTTATCTTGTCAAGGTGTCCTGTCCTGACCCACAGAAATCAAAGACACAAAGCTAAGTGCTATACCTTTACTAAAAAAGTTTTTAAAACTAATGATAAAAAGGTTGAATTAACAAGAAGGCAGCTAAGGAGTTGAAGGACACAATGGTGAGTTAAATGGAGAATTATCAGCAATGGAACTGTGCAGCATGTTGGTCCTCTTAGGTACGGTTGCATTATCCTTATTGGTTATTTGGTGCCTTCCAGATATATCAGAATTGGTACTCCCAGAATGTTCTGCCAGGAAGAGGCTGGCTTTTGGAATTTGTAAAAATTAAAGGATTACTGATGAATATTTAAAGTGAAACAAAGCTCTGATCATTATCTATGACTTTTAAATTTTAAGAAAAATCTGCAAAGCTAGGAATAAGTGACAATTTGATGTGATGAAACTGCAACATATTTCTAGTTGCACTCCAAGATCCTCTATTAAGTATGAAATTATTTTTGTCTTATTGCAAAGCTGATGGCAAAGGGAAAGCTTTTCGTTAAAATGAAGACATGGACTTTCACCACAAAAGGAAATCAAAAGCTTAACCACCTGCTCCATTTTCTTCACTGCTGTGGCTTTTCTGATTGATTGTAAGCCGGTAGTATCGTTGTAAGATTGCAGCCTTCTGAAATTAGAAGGTTAATTTACTCTTTGGCTGCATATTTTCATCCAACAGAGGATGTTGGGTGTTGAAGTGGGAGGCTTGAATTCTGTTTATTTGGCAGGTTTCCTCTGCCTCCTGCATCACTGCCTGTGCGATTCATTTACTGTGTGCATTTTGGATTTGAAAACTCTCAGTATAATGAAGATACATCAAATTATTTGCATTCATAATACATATTTTTTGTAGGATTGATGTTTATTTCAGCTAGCCTTTATCGCTGGGATTTTTTGAAATCATTTGCAGGGAGAGGCCTTTCTCTACTTTTAATTATGTGCTGAATTGAATGACTCCCATCTGGAAACAGATGTATTACAGCAGCACAGCCCATTTTATTGCTTTGTTTCTTTCCTCAATTTTCTCCTGCATTGCAGCAAATTTTGAGATAGTTATGGTGTGAAGTAATTAAAATGAGTATCATCTGAAATAGCATCTGACAGCATAGCACTCTTCTGTCTTGTTACTCATTGATTACATAGAGCTACATAACAGAGCAATGCCTTTCACTGGCTTTGGAAAGTTTTGGCTAGAATTTCTTTGACACCAAGAATAATCATCCAGACAAAGATTCAGTTTAAAAAAATTATGTCTTCTGAAACCATTAAACAAAAGCTTTCTTTCATTAAGATTAAAAACAAATTATCATTGCTTTTCAAATTTTTAAAAGTTATTTTACATAGTAGGGTTTACTTTCCTTTCCTCTTATTAAAAGGCATAATGACTGATGTAAAGAAAAATTAATGGGTCAGTAATTTTATGTCCATCACAAATTGTAAACATTTGTTAGTACAAACTACTTACCTGTAGCAGATTTTGAATTTCTACCCATTTATAGTTGGTTAACACATCACCAAACCCTTCTACCTGTTATGGAAAAATATGAGCTTTTGAATAAGCAACAACAGATTTTAAATCGCCCAATTTATTGAGTGTAAATTAAAGCCTTTTTATATTCTATAAAACTAAAAAATACATTGTATAGAATTAAAAGTCTGTGAAGAGAGAAAACAACTTTTACTTTCAGAGACCAATTTTTCTATCGGATGAAGGAAATAAAAATAAACTTGGCTGACAAATTTTGAAAAATTAATCATGAAGAAAAACTACTAAAGGGGTGTGTGCGTTAAATTAATATAAAAGGAAACACAGATGAAAGCTAAAATCACAGGAAAAAATATTGTTCTAAATAGAATGAACTTAAAATACATTCCAATAATTTCCCTGAACTCAAATATCTGTCTCTAAAAAGCAGATATATTTTAAAAACCTTGCTATTGCTTTAATTCTAAAATATCTCAGCAGCATCTGAATGTTTATAAAAAAATCACACCAGTAATTAAAAGAAGATCAAAAATGTATGTGCTCAAATTTAGAAGCTGGGTCTGTTTCATACATCCTTTTAAAATGCCCACAGTACGGGTATTGGTGATCAGAGCTTTACTAAAAAATATTCTACTTCTGAGCCTTCTGTGGAGGTCCTTCAGAAAAGCAGATTACCTCTGTACTTTTCATATAATGCCTTAATAAATGCAGAACATGGCCTTCCACTTTAAATTTTATAAAACTGAGAACAATGGAACTGGATTTTTAAGTGAATGGAAATGTTTGATCACACAGCAAGCGACTTCACTTTTAAACCAATAGAATAATTGCCATGAAAGAATCTCATATAAATGCTGCTTTTGATCAATATTTTAAATACTTGAGAGACCGCCTCCTGCCAATTACCTCCTTGCGACCTATTAGATNGATGGGCTTTCGAATGGTGTATGAATTATTTGTGTTGTTATTACAAGTGTTGCTGTGACCCCCTAGGAAAAGGTTATGCCCCACCCTGTACTTCACACATGACTGCAAAACTGAATGACGAACTGGAGAACTGAAAGACACAGTTATTCAGATTTATGTGTATGTGTCCATTTATCTGCAGCAGAGTTTCTTCAAATGCTTTCATTTTAAAGTTGTTTCTTCTAGGACTCTTTAAAGAAAGTTTGACTTTTGGTATTTAGGCCACCAGTGTCATCTGGATTGCACAACAGAAGCTGGGGAAGTCATGGGCTTTGATTTCCATTCTTTTATAAAGGACAGCCAGGATTAATTTCAAGATCTTTCTATAAATCATATTGCGACAGAAATAAGAATGCTGTTCAGGATACTAACAGAATGATATTTGTCTGACTTTCAGAATGTCGTGTAGTGAAATCTACTTCCTATACCAAAATAGCTTCAACACCACGTCGGAGCATCACCAAGAGCCCAGGTCCATCCCGACGCAGCAAATCTCCAGCATCCACCAGCTCAGGTAACACACTGCAAATAAATTTGACTAAGTAGCAGGTAAACTCTTTGACTATCATAATTATTTAAACATGGTTAAATATACTATGTACTTAGTAGTGTGGCTCAAATATACTTTGTTTTCAAAATGGAGAATAATAAGTATTTCTTGCTTACTGCGAATTGGATTGTCAAATAATTGAAAGTATCTTATGTCCCCAATGAATTGAAGTGTATGAAATAAAATTTAGAAAAGAAAATGTGCTTTGTCTCGGATTTTTAAAGTCCTTATTCAGCAAGCTCCTTGTGTAATTGAATTCTTTGAAGGTAAACTTGTTGTAGGAGATAGAATAGGTATACACACTTTTCCCCTTATTTTAAAGATCTAGATGTTTTAATAGAGGAACGCTTTGTGGTTGTATATTTTTATGGAAAAGTGTTACAGGGTGTTCCTCTGATCCTTTATCCCTTTGAGTGCTTTAAGTAATGTTTGGGAAACAAAAGGAATTTCATGCTATATTGTGTACTTTATTTCTGAATTAGTTAGGAGGTCTCAGAGATGGTACAGGAGGATTTCAAGTTTTATATTGTGAGTGATCAGATTTGCTCATTGCAGTTTATACATAGCATCTGTTTATCATTAGAACATACGGGTAATCCTTGACTTATGACCACAACAGAGCCCAAAATTTATGTTACTAAGTGAGAAATTTGTCGGTGAGTTTTGCCCCATTTTATGACTTTTCTTGCTGAATTTGTTAAGTGAATGACTGCTATAGTTAAATTAGTAACACCGTCGTTAGGTGAAACTGGCTTTTTCATGGACTTTGCTTGCCAGAAGGTAACAAAAGATGACCACATGGCCCTGGGACACTGCAACCATCATAAAGGCGAACCAGTTGTCAAGCATCTAAATGTAAATCACATGACCATGGAGATGCAATGGTCATAAGTGTGAAAAATGGCCATAATTCAGTTTTTTCCAGTGCTGTTATAATTTCAAACTGTTGTAAGTCAAGGACTACCTGTATTTTGTATCTGGTTTTCTGTGTAGGGTACAGTGATGGTGGTGTGAATGTGAGCAACTTTCTAATTATAAACCAGGGATGTCAAACTGGCGGCCCATGGGCCGGATGTATAATCTGCAGGCCACACCCACCCCAGCTCCGCAAAGGCAAAAAAAGTTGTGATATGTCACCTGATGGAGTTTGACACCTGTGTCATAAACTGTCATGAAGACTTCAGTAGTTAAAGGGATTTGATCCATGATACAGCACCCAAGACATCTCATGTGATCTTATTTTATTATTATTTTATTATTATTAACACAGTGTCAGGAATTTTTTGGCTTTTAACCCTTGCTTAACTCTGCTTGAGTGATCATAAAAAGTCAGACTAGATGAGGCATCTCGTTCTCCTGCCTCCTCCTGTAGAGGATGCTTTTTTAGAGGCTTTTTTAAACAGTTAAGCAGAGTCATCCATGGTGACTCTGGCAGCAACTAGCTCAGCCTTTTTCCTTTTAATTTTTTTTTGTTCTTTTCATGATGACAGTGGTTAGGCTCTGCCTCCCCTGCCTCCCCTGACTGCATGTCCCTGGAGTCAGTATATCCCCTCCTGCCAATAATCTAGCTCCTCATTTTATCAACCTCGGAAGGATAAAAAGCTGAATCAATCTTGAGATGATCAGGATAGAACTCCTGGCAGTAAACAGTGAGTTTTCTTGTAGTAGTGCATTTTTATCACTGTGCCAGGATAGCTCCTGTATATGGAAATGTAGTAGTAATGAAGCCTAATGTACAATTCACTAAAAAATCAGGGAAAAAATGGTTCAGAATATTCATGCCCTTCATATCATTGCCTGAGTAACCAAGAGGAAAATGTAGACAACACTTTCAAAATGTCAATGGCAGATCTTTCAAAGAGCCATTACAATAAAATAGAATATAATAATAGAATAAAACTGTCATCATTTGGGAAAGAAATTCTGGAAAATATTATTCTTCTAGAAACATTTATTTATTTTGAAAATACTTTTTCCATCAAAGAGATCATGTTGACAGGAAGCCTTCCCAATTTGTATCCTAATCATCTAACTAATTCATTTGTAAGTTTGAAATTTCTTTCTTTTGCATAGTTCATCTTTATACCCATCTCTCTCGGTCTTAAAAGTTGCCTCAGTAAAAGCGTAAATTGATGAGTTATACTGTAATTATTATGCCTGGAAGTTTTTAAAATTCTTCTTATTTTAATTGAAGATAAGTTTGATATTGAAATCTGCCAGAGAGGTGATGGACTTTCATTTACTGAATGAATGCACACAGGGGTTGAAGAGGCATATGTTATGAATACTTTAATACTTTAATTTCTATATGGACTATGGTAGAGATAGAGATGGAGATGGAGATTCCAGCTTTAGTTCTAAATATGTGTGATCCATTATTCCCTTCCAACTCTTTAATACTAAAATTTCAAGATCCAGACAAGATCATTATGCTAGCAAACCAATATAAGTTTGTAGAGTAATAAATTACCCTTTTCTATAATTATTTCTCCTACTGTTTTTACCATTATTGTTATACCAGTGCTTTATATAAGAGAAAAATTGCCCAATGGGATTTCAAAAATAGAACAAAAGGCAAAACTTCAAGTTCTGCTACATTGTCGGCATAGTCAATTAAACCCTGGTCTCCGAGTGCTAGAAAAGTTACTTTTGTAGAATGTAGAAAAACACAGCACGCCAATATCCAGTATTTCCCTTCCCCTGGTTTTCTTGTACCTTATCAGTAATTTCTCAGGGTCTTGTGTGATGGTGTGATGGTGACACTTAATATCAATATTAGCAACATGGCATCTTTTTCATCCCATGGAGTTTATCATTTTAGAAAGTGAGCGGGTGTTCCTTTCCATAATTAGCTTCACCAATGAAATGCAAACAATATATACTCTTTTTGAATATATAAGGGTCAGACCTGAAGAAGTGAGATGATGTCTATTTGCTTGGCTTCCTAATGTAACTGCATAAAAGATATAATTTCCAAAACTTTCATTTTGTGTTCCAAGAAATGTAAGGGTCAGATGGCTGGAGTAGGCAATGGAAAATAGAAAGTGAATCAGACTTTCACTTGAATTAGTGAATTGAATATATAAGGGTCAGACCTGAAGAAGTGAGATGATGTCTATTTGCTTGGCTTCCTAATGTAACTGCATAAAAGATATAATTTCCAAAACTTTCATTTTGTGTTCCAAGAAATGTAAGGGTCAGATGGCTGGAGTAGGCAATGGAAAATAGAAAGTGAATCAGACTTTCACTTGAATTAGTTTATTATTGTTTAAACTTGTAGAACTTTCCTTCTGCTACAAGTTGAAAAGATTTCAATTTTTTGAACTAGAGATATCAGAAAGAGACGTTAGCATTTAAAATGTACTTTCCATCTCGAAGCGTTGGCTTTTACTTGAAAGTTAAATAAGCGTTTAGGGAAACAGCAATCAAATAAAAGTCTTTCAATGAAATGAAAATTTGTGCTATAGCCTTAATTCTAAGCAAAAATTATGTAGAAGCAAGCAATTAATGTTGCTAGCAGTAATGTGTTGTTGGCAACATTGGTGTCAGTCTTCCTCCATTAGAATGCCCTGTTATCTCTTATAAATTATCCATGTCTAAGCACTCCCAACCAATAATATTATTGATGAATGTGTGGTGGTTCACAAGCAAATGTCTTTGACATTAATTCACCAAAAATTCTCCAAATGTTCATATGATTTAAACAGCAGATTTCCTGGTAAGCCTTTCGGCTGTAATAGTAATTGAATTCAAGTACTAATTCAAAGTTTACTATCACTTTGGCTTCCAGATGTTCCTGAGCTCTTGGCCAGGGCTGCTAGGGATGATTTTAAGCAACATTTGGAAGGCTACAGGTTTCCCCACTTTTGTGTTAATGCTGTAACTTTCCTATCCTAACCCAATGTGCAAAAAACAGGCTTCCAAAGGCAAATTTAACAATACAGTATTGTAATAGTTAATTATTCTACACAGTGCTTTTTATGTCTGAGCTGAATAAAGAACACATCATCTAGGTAACCAGGCAGAATATTTATGACTGTGCATAGTTGGCAGATGGGAAAGAAAAGTATTCTTCCCATCTGACAATGTTTTAAAATCTAGTTCTCTCTCTCTCTACTGGGCGTAGCGGTTTGGAGGCTACCAGTCAGCTAAGCTATGATAAAAATTATTATTATTATTGTGATCTTCAGATGAGTAATTTGGTATATTGTTCCCAAAGGCACTTCATTATGATTCAGTGTGCAGCAGCATATAAGATTGCTAAGGCTATGGGGGCTTGGCAGATCAGAGTGAGGGCTGCAGTTGCTCAACATCCTGAAGTCGCGGCGTTGTGTATTGACACTTTTGATGTAGTCCCTAAGACGGCACCTACACCTCCTACTGCTGCTCGGAAGACGTCAGCCTTACGCAGAAAAAGCTTTGGCTTATGAATCTGGCATTTTATTCAGCTCTCTCTGTGAGCTGCTTTGGCAACCTTTAACTAATCTTAATGCTTCCTGTTTCTGCCAGAGTGTAGTACAAAAGGCAAATATTTTCCTGCTTGGTTTTATCAGGTTAAAATAAGTCTGTTTCCATGTTAGAACTCATAGAAGGTAAGTTCAATGCCTTATTAGTATCATGGCTGGAAATATCAGTGCAAAATACAGAATTTGGATGTCTGCTAGTTACTGCTTTTTTATGGCTGATGTATATATAATTGTGACCTAACCATAGCATGTTTGAGAAGACATTTTACTATATAGCATCTCTTTCTCTCTCTCCCTCCCTCTCTCCCTCTCTCTCTCTTCTCCCCCTCCCTCCCCTCCTATCTTTTCAGTGCAATATTAGCATTATTTGCCTATGTTTTCTGTTCTACAGTTTTCACAGCTGTGAAGATTTTGTATTAAATGATAAGGCAAATGTTATGTAAGTAGAAAAAAATGTAAAGAATATAGCAACAGTTTAGAAGTCTCTCATTTTTATGAAGGCAACTATGAAAGGCTGAGGTTGTGATCTTATAAATCAAAGAGTCCCAGATGAGTTAATGCGTAGGTCAAATGTATCACACAGAAATCTTTTCAACAGTTCCATGTTAGTATCAGTAGTAATAAATGCCCTTTTAAGATAACACAATAATTTGGAATTTCTAACAGATAACATTAACACATCCCCTCATCTCTAAAAAGGAGGGGAAAAGACCAATACTTAAAGGCTTTTTTTAACAGCAAGTATAATCTTGGTCTCCTCACCCCATGGATAAGCAGTACAGACTTGAAGACAATACTTTTAATTTCATTGCAGCTACATATTGAATACAAATTGGTCAAACACTTGTTAAGTAAAATGTATACCAACTGAATACAGAGGAACCCACATTATAGTGATTAATTCCTTCAGAATTACATCTTTACTTAATTCTTATTAGCAGTACACAGACTGCAAAAGAGCAAAGCAGAAAGCATTGGCTAACGTGAGCAATATGTTGTTTAGTGTTTAATTATAGTGGTTCCAGATCCAAAATTATGTTTTCTTGTCTGTTCTTGTTTGTCTAGTTAATGGAACGCCTGGAAGTCAGCTTTCTACTCCCCGTTCCGGGAAGTCTCCAAGCCCTTCTCCTACTAGCCCAGGAAGCTTGCGGAAACAGAGGGTAAGAAAACCCAAGTTTTGAAGGTGGCCAAGTGAATCGCTTGATACCAAGTTCCTTAATCTAGCAAGTGTTCTGATATCCTCATAAAATGGCAATGCAAGGAATTCTTTGCTAATGGATATAAATAAATAAAATTGGTTGTTGGTTGGCTGGTAGTGGAATGTTTTGATAAATAGCTAGCCCTAAGATTACCCCAAACTGTAGCAAATTTTGAAAAATGCGTCCATTTTGCATCCACTTCTGCATGAAAAATAGGAACATCGTCAAAATGAACTCCTCCCCTTCCCTCCCTTCTCTTTGTTTGGCCATCAGTTTGGCAATCCAAAGATGCTGGATCTCTGTTCCTTCCACTTTGCTTGCTAAGTTAGCTAGTTAGTTGGCTTTACCAGGCAAAGTAGGAATGGAGTGAGCTCAACTTAGAACACAATTAGGACTGGAACTTCATTTTGGGCGGCCTATAAATCTAATAAATAAATAAATTACTAAGCAATGCCTATGTTAAGCGAGTTGCACTTGATTTTATGATTGTTAAGCAAATCATGTGGCTATTAAGCAAATCCAGCTTCCCCCACTGACTTTGCTTGTTGAAAGCTATCTGGAAAGATCACAAATGGCGATCATGTGACCATTAGATACCATTGTAAATCTATGCTGGTTGCCAATTGCCCAAATTGCAATCACATGACCGTGGGATGCTGTGATGGTCATCAGTGCAAATATTGGTTGTAGGTTGCTTTTTTCTGCACTCTTGTAAATTTGAGTGGTCGCTCAAGAAAGGATTGAAATCAATGACTACCTGTACAGCCTTGCTACTGAATCCAGTCAACCTTTCAAATGCCCAAACCTGACTTGAGCAGTGGTAGAAATGTTCCTGAGGTTCTTAATTGCAGCAGCATCTCTACACATGCTTATACTCAAAACCCAAGTTGTTGTTTCATTGGTTCCTCTAAGGGCTTGTTTGTGGAAGTAATACACTGATCTCTTCCTGGGCCTGGAGTATTGTATCAACTGATCATGGGCTTTTCTGTCTATGCTTCCTGCACAAAACATTTTTTTCTTGATGCTAGAACAAATTTTTGACAGTTCTCTCCAGTTTAGTTGTATCTCACATGCCCCTAAAATTTAAGCCTCAGAATTACTAGTGACATCCTCCCGTTTGATAATTCTATTAATGGTGCTCAAACCTTGTATATTCAAAATGAAGAATTCCGCTGTTATTTTTTTGCAAATTATATTATTATTTGTTTTTTTGTCTTTTGCTGTACCTAATTTCTAAAAATTTTCAGAAGTAGTCCATACACAAACTAGCCAAATTCTAAATTTGTGTCCATGTTAGTTGTTCTCTCTACTAGGCACAAGCAATTCTATAAATAGAAATAGTCCTACACACTTTACCACGTATTTGAATACATTTTAAAAAATACACTGTAGAATATTAAAATATGTAGAGTTGGTCAAATATATTGCCTATTAGGAACAGAATACCTTAAACCAGTGGTTCTCAACTTGTGGTCCATGGACCCCTGGAAACCACAATGTCCCGACAGAGGGTCTGTGAAGACTTGAAGTAATGTTATGATTTAAATCTTGAGTTAAGTCTTGGGGGCCCATGGTCATGGTGCACGGCCCAAAAAAATATTTAAAGGGGGTCTGTGGTGAAAAAATCCTAAAGCAGTATTTTCCAACTTTGACATTTCAACTACCTGAATTTTATAACCATTGTTAAGAATTCTACAAATTGAAGAATGCCCATATTTGGAAGTTGCCACAGATGGGAAATACTGCTGAAAATTAAGAAAGTGGTATAAAAAGTATTCTTCACATGTAGTAGCTTTTTCAATATACATGAATTAAGTTTAAAGCTAGTAATAGATAATTAATATTGTACTGCCTCAGTACTACCACAATCTTGTGGTATGGATTCTCGGGAAGACATTTAGAAAAATGAATTTTGTACGCATCCTACATTTCAAGGACCCAAAATCTATCACAAAATCATGCCACAAAGAAATTTATTTGGGCAGTCGCCAAAATTACTGGGCTGCAATAGTTCCTGGGGTTGGATTTAACAGAGTTTTGAGGGGCAAACTGGCTTTCAAGAGTATTGATAGCTATTATCATTCTATTGATTGATGAACTTCTGAGAATTTTCTAAGGGACTAAAGAAAAAAAAACTTATTTTCTAAGTTTTTAAAATATTGTCTGAACACCACTATATTTAAACACACAACATTCTTAGTCAAAGAAGCTTTTTTATATCTTTTGTCAGAAAATTTTATATGAAGAGATATACACTACAGCCATATAATCTAACAATTTAGAATTTCAGAAAAATCTGTTTCATACTTTAGATTATTTCACTTTTTAAATTACATGATACTTTAACATGTTTATTTGCAAGGTATTTTTTTTTGCTGTTGAAAACCAATATGATCTCCTCTTGGATTTAAAAAAACATTTTATTTAATATAATTCACTAAAGTACTATATATTATTTCTAAATCCAAAATGTTAGTTTAAGGGGGGGGGGGCGAGAAACCCAGGAAAATGAATTGTTTATCAGTGCATGAAAATAATTTAATACAAAGACACTGTTGTTAGAAGGATCCATATTATTTTCCTTGAGAAAACAGTATCACAGTGCACACAAATTACTAATCAATCTTCCCAAAGTGAAGAGGTATTTATACAAGGGAACTGTAAGGTGTATCTTTCCCCTGCGTGGCTGCTGTTTTTCAGAAAACTTCCTTATGTAGGATCAGAGAACAATACTGAGTTGTGGCACAAAAGTCCTAGAGAGTCTCAAAGCAAAGGCAACATCTATTCTGCTTTCACTAGCATTGGATTACAATTCAAATCTAGACAAAGAAATCCAAATGGAAAAAACATATTTGCACACTTTCTGAGAGAGTTATAGAAAGTTCATAATGCTTTCTAGGAAGGAAGACCTGTTTTGGGTAGAGTTTCCCATTCATTGGCAAGTTTTTAGCAAAGTTCCTTGTCACTAAAACACATTTTTTTTACAATTATTTACAGTAAAATAGTATAAACTGAATGGGGCATGAATGATGGGGTTGTATGATAGCACTTCAGGATTAGAAGTTTATAGCAACATTTAAAAGAACTAATTTACAATGTAATTTTCACTTTTTTAACTAAGAAAATATTTTTTCTTTTTTCTTTTTAAAAAGAACCATATAAACGAGAATACATCTTCAACCCAGATTTCTCCAATATATGTTATTAAAAACAGTATTTTTACATAGCAAGTAAAATATTTCATTTTAATATACAGATGTATTTTAACTTACTTGAGTTTATCTTCTGTTTATAACTTTAGTATAAAATATCCTTAATTTAACTTAAATTAAAAATATGCACGATTCTATTAAAGACCTAAATAAAATCATGATACAATAGATACAATAAGATCTCTGGATAGCATAATATATAATATAATATGATATTTTGGTGTAACAAGCAATAGAACATAGCTCTTGCGCTGTTAAACATCTGTTTAAATGTTTATATAAAATACTTTATGTGGTTTCTTTGTGCCACTTGAACTATTTAGAAAAAAATCTGCTGAAGTCTCTACAGTTGTTTTTTACTGTTCTACATATAAAGATGTTGGTAATAGAAATTATTATAGATTTATAAAAGACTATTATACCTAAAATAGAAAAAAAAGTTGCAAATGTTCTGCAAAAATTTTTATTTTCATATACGTAGATTCTAGTACCTGAAATAGAATTTGAAAATTAGCATTGAGAGCCTCTTTTTTTCACATTATCTCCACTCCGTACAAGAAAAAATTAATAAAACAATTATTTTACTTCTTAATTCAAGTAGGAATTAATTTAGAAGTTTTTTTAAAAAGTAATAGAGTGTTCATCTTTTGATAATCACCATAGCAACATGATATGTAAAACCTGCAAGATTACATGTGCTTCTGCAGCACTTTAATTAAACAATCACATTATTTAATTGTTAAACTACAATCTATAATGCCAAAACACGATTATCCAAAAGGTGAGCTATTTTTATAATTCTTAAGATCTTTTATTCAAAACGTATTTTTAGTTTCTCAAGAACTACCAGCATTATCATATCTGTCATCAATAAACAGAAAGTGTACAGATTAAATCTCATGATTTTAAAGCCTTTATTTTTAATCAAAATATTTTAAAATGAAAATGGTAAAATAAAAATAATTTGATATTTTTCATGGACAAAATATAGGTCAAAAAACAGAAGTTCCACTGAAAACACTTTTCAGATGTAGCTATTTAAGCAAAAACGAGTGAGCTCCATATTGATTATATTGTGGGTGCTACCAAATATGAGTTAAGGACTTCACATTAACTTGGAGCCTGGAACTATATTTTAAAAAGTTATTTCTGTTTGGTCAAGGAATGACTGGATTGGAGTTTTGAGGGGACGGGGAATAGAACCAGAGAGCACTTGTATTCGTATATTATTGTACAAAAAAGTTCAAAAAGAAGGCTTGACCTGTAGAATATAATTTAATCAAGCTCACTTTCACTCTCCTTAATCATAGGAGACTGGCTATAAATATAAATACAGGCAATTTGTTTTTATAATGTAAAGTGTGAATGCTGAGGGAGGAAACCTTGAAGTTGGAGAATATTTTTCTAGATTTATGGCTTATGGCAATGTTTCTCAATCTTGGCAAGTTTAAGATGCATGGGCTTCAATTCTGAGAATTCTCCAACTAACATGTTTCTAAAATTTAAGTAGTTTTTCTGCCCTCAATTATTTTATTTTGCTCCCAAAAAACTTGTAATGTTAGCATAATTCATGCTATAATTCATCCTTAAAGTGTTCAGAGAAGCCTTGCTATTGCTGCTGGAGATGAAAATTATCTCATTAATCACATACATATATTTTAAGCATTAAACACAATTTAAAAAGTTAATAAAATAAAAAGTAAAAAAGTAAACTCAAACAAATGGTACATGGAAATTCAGTATCTCAGC